CGCGCCACAGACCAGGGCGGGACTCTAGACCTCGGCCACAGACCAGGTCAAAACTCTAGACCTCGGCCACAGACCAGGTTGCGACTCTAGACCTCGGCCACAGACCAGGTTGCGACTCTAGACCTCGGCCACAGACCAGGTTGGACACTTTAGGTCTAAATGGGCAGCTAAGAGAAAGAAACACTTGTTCTTGGTTCTGACTTCCTCCATGCAGAGGACCTGGAAGCCAAAGACTGGACCCCAGACAAAGCCCGGGAGGGAAAGTCCCTTCTAGAATGTCTCCAAGTATTGGTCCCCCTCCCCGGCCCACGTCACCGGCACAAACCCTCATTCATTGGCAGAAGAACCCCCATACATTGTGTCTTCTCAGGACACTCCGCTGCAGCAGGCCGGAGCAATCAATGTCCTTGGGCCTAGGAGACGCCTAACGATCGCAGATAACACAGAGCTCAGGCTGGGGAGGGCCAATCTGCACACACTACATTAGAATAGGGACCGTCCAGCTTAAGGCAGAGTCCCTACCACAGAAATGTTTGTTCATTGGCCCAGAGCAAGCCAGAAGGGGACTCTTCTCAGACCTCACTAGCTGCATGCTTGTTCCAGGTCATTGACTCACTGAGGTCAGGAGGGCTGATGGGTCTCTCTTGAGGAGGTTAGAGAGTTGCAGGCCGGGAAGTTCTGGATGAGGCAGTTTCTGGACACCTGTGAAGTGTAATGTGTTGGGTTATACTGCCATCTGCAGGATATTAGGAGAAGGAGCCGCAGCCGGCTGTTTCCCAATGTGGGGGCCATTAGAGGGCGGAGCCAACCCAATACTGAACCCTACGGACTAAGACTGGGGGGCCATTAAAGTTCATGTGCGTGTATAGGCGCCCCGATACTTCGGGTGATAGAGTGTATCAGACATTCCGAATTTTTATCAGGTAGCCAGAAATGTGTTCCCATCTCCTGGAGGAGAATTCCCCGGGCGGCACTTTGCATATAATCTGATCCAGGGAATTGGTGTGTTGTGGTGCAGCCACCAATCTGGGCCCCCCGTATCCCCCATTATCCGGGTCAGGGGGGTTCCTGTGGATGGTTCTCCAGTGCCAGGTGCCCATGTCCCCGCACTCCACCCTTAGCTGGTATTATGAGGGCGCCGCCCTGGTGACGGGCTCAGCCATAAGATGCACGTGGCGCTATGTATGGTGGAGGAGATGCAATGTTGTCCCTTCCTTGCCCCTCCAGCACTGATGTACGCCAGCATTTTCGGGAACGTATCTGCGATCATCCAGCGACTGTACTCCGGCACCGCCAGGTATCACACCCAGATGCTGCGGGTCCGGGAATTCATCCGTTTCCACCAGATTCCCAACCCCCTACGCCAGCGCCTGGAGGAGTATTTCCAACACGCCTGGTCCTACACCAACGGCATCGATATGAACGCGGTGAGTCTAACGTCTCTGACAACAGTTGTCTCCTGCTGACTTCATCCAAGATGTCTGTGTCCCCGCTTCCTCCGCCATTCTCTGCTGTGACCTGCGTCCTTATCACCATCTCATCCTCTCCCCGTCCTCTGTGATCTCCACTGTTCTCCCTCACTGCTGCTCTCTCCTCTGTCTCTACTGTTTGGCCAGAAAGCCGGCTCCATGCTCCCTGGTGACGAGGAAGCATGGAGCCGTCTCCCGGCCAATTAAGAAGCCGGGCGACACGTAATGACTCGCCACTCGGCTTCCCGATGCCGGAAGTTCCGGTTGCCGGGATAGGCATCGGGAGCATGTGGCCGAGTATCGGTATCGGTGCATCCCTAATAAAAGGTTCACAGAGCCATTCGTTTTCATTTCCTGGGCTCCCCGGCTCCATCTAGTGGCCATAATGCGGTATTTTCTGACAATGACATGCGTCCTGCACAAGAAGACATTGGGGGGGAATTTATCAAGACTGGAGCAGCTGTCCACGGCAACCAATCGGCTTCTCTCTCCAGTTTGCTCAGGTAAGAATTGAAAATGAGACGGAGAAGCTGATTGGTCGCCGTGCACAGCGGCTCCAGTTCTGATAGATCCCCCTCGTTGTGTTTTGTTGCTGATCACACGGGACGCATGGACGTGTCAGCTGTGCAGGATCCTCGTCGTCATGTGACAAATGATGGAATACAATGTATACTTTATATCTATAGTGACGGGAGAAGAGCCGGGAGGGGAGGGGGAGGGGGGATTAGCTTTGATGTGATTTGGCGATGTATTTTGGGAATGTTTCAAAATTGTAGATATTAACAATGACTTGCAAAGCCGTCCACAACTCCGCCCCCGTCTATATCTCCAACCTGGTCTCAGATTATTATTATTACATAGTATTTATAGAGCGCCAACAGTGTGCGCAGCGCTGTACAATATAAGGAAGACATTACAATCACAATACAATGTGGTAAGGATGGCCCCGCCCCCGAGGGCTGTATCACCCTAACCGTCCCCTCCGCTCCTCCCTAGACCTCCGGCTTTCCAGCTCCCTCGTCAACTCCTCCCATGCTCGCGTCTAGGACTTCTGTAGAGTCTCTCCCATCCTATGGAACTCTCTACCCCAACCTGTCCGTCTTATCTCCCACCTTGATTGCCTTTAGGCGATCCCTTAGGACTCATCTCTTCAGGGAAGCCGATCCCACCTCAACCTGACCGCTCAACCATTCATCCCCACACAGCTCCCTCCTCATGTATCACTGGCCCCTCCCTTTCAGAGTGTAAGCCCTCAGGGGCGGGGCCCTCCTTACCATCTTGTCTTGTATTGTCTTCCTTACATTGTACAGCGCTGCGCACACTGTTGGCGCTCTATAAATCCCGCATAATAATAATGTTGTCCCGGATACACAAAGTAGC